GAGCTAGAGAGAGCAAAGAAGAAAGAGTAAGGCTGATGTCGGATTGGCTGCGAAAAGCGATGCGATGCTATAAGCGAAATCTGCAAAGCGATGACATGACAAAGTGAAAGCTACCCGCAATGAAAGAAACAGTGTGAGCATTCAAATAGTAGCCATTGCGAGTGTTCAAGTTAAGCTTAAATTGGAAAAAAAAAAAACATCACTAACCAACGGTTGTTAAAGCTCAGCACGCAACAAAACACACGTAACAGAAAAGCTTTATCATGCTTTCTCGCAACTCGCTTAGCTTTTTGCTGTGGCTCTCTTCTCGTTTCGCTTGCAGGCTGACAAGTTTTAAACTTTTAAGCCTTAGAGCTTTCTCGCACATTGTCGCTCAATATAAACGGATCGCACTATAGCGGCCACTCTGACATCTTCACATATGGAAGTGTGATCATGTCTGTTTGACTAATCGCAGAGCACTGAATTTATCGTGCTTCATTTGCACTGCTCGCCGAACTCGGTCCACAGGCAACCGAGCCGAGCAAATACGAAGTAATAATACGAAGTAGACTACGCTCTAGAATCGTTATCATTCCGTTTTAAGAGTTAATTTATTCTCGCTCATTATACTGGGAGGCAGTAAGCTACGGCACCTGTTGTGCACTCCAACTAAAACTCAATCAATATGCTCTTTGCTACACTCTCACTCATTTGGCTTCCCAACAAATAGATTCCCCCTAATAATAATATGCAATCGTGTGTCGATCTGCCTGTGCTCGCTCTCGCTTTTGCACCTAATGACAGCAAGACTTACCCTGAGTTCCCCCTTTACAATATAAAATATACAAGCCAAACTAGTTGCAATATCAAACTAAAATTCTAATTTAGTTAATTAAATTGCAACGACATCTACATACATATAAAATTAAATATGTATGTATTGAGGACAGCAAAAGCCAAGACTAATTTTCTACTACAATAGATATATTTGATTAATTACATACGTACAACTAAATATCTCAATTTGCTTAATAACAGTAAGTAATAATATTGGTCAGTTGCAAAGCCTAATTGAAATTATTTCACAGTCAATTTAAAGCATTTGCAACAAATGAGAGCTCTAGTTAGAACTTTGGCTGAATTATAATGCAATTTATATATATACTAATTAGAAGTTTGTTGCCATAGCAATTGATTGTTGTTGTTGCTGTTGAACTACTTCAACCCAGTGAGCTCTCATTCAGAAACAGGTAACTATGCTCTTTGGTAAAAGGACACCAAAGTTATATTACCTCATGTCTCTCATCACGTTACATGCACGCACACTTGTGAGCTTCTGTGAATTGAATCGGAAAACTTCTGGCTTAAGCTTTCAGCTGCTGCTGTTGCGGCTCCTGCTGTTGCTACTCCTGCTGCTGCTGCTCCTGCTGCATGCATGCAAAGCAATTTATGAACCCACACAGAGGACAGAAAACAGAAGTTAACCTTAGGCGTGGGCTACCAACAAAGTTGGATCGCAGGCTAATCGACAAACTTTAGTTGCAAATATATTATTTCGACAGCACTATTAATCATGCCTCTATACATTGTAGTTGTATGATAGTAGAGCAAAAAGAAAAATTTAACAAAAAGAGAGTAAAAACTTTAAGCATTTAGACAGGAAAATTTGCTGAACAGTTTTTTTTTCCTTTCTCTCCATTTTTTCTCTGTTGCTTCAACAAGGGGCACGAAGACAGCGCGCAACTGCCACTCGATTGCCATGCAAACATTCAATCGAAACAAATTCCAATTCAATGAAAATAAATGAGCACGACAAATAGCACACACACACACACTTACTACACTCACTCACACACATACAAGTGGGGGGCACACGTAAAAAATTTGACAGCATTTTTCGCGTAAGGGAAAAGATTACAAACGGCGGCAAGGCACGCCAATGCCTGCGGCAATGTTCTTGACATATTCCACTTGTTTATTTACACTAGAGACTAGCCGACTGGCAGCAGCTCCCGAACCAGTGGCACAACTACATAAGTACATGCATAAGGACCCAAAGACATAAGGACGATGAGGCCTGTGGATTGGGGATTGAGCACTAAGGTCTAAGGACTTACCGCCGCCGCAGGTGACGGAACATTGCGACATCGCCGACATCTCCCAATAATAGAGCGGTTGCGAACAGGAGTTGCCATCGCCTCCGCAAACGCCGCAGCCGTCAATTTTCTTCGTTGAGCCTATTTTCAAATCGCAGCCAACGCGCTGAAAAGAGAAGCACAGAACCAAATAAATATCTCTAGATATGTATATTTGTGTATATGTATTAAAGCGAGCAGTCTGATAAAAGAACAGTCGAAAATGTGGCGGAATAGTTGGCTAAGTATTGGCGAAGCCCAAATACCCTTACATATATATTTCATGTATATTTAGTTCAATTATTATAAATTATAATTTTTATATAATATTTATATATACTTTTAAATTTATCAGATCAATTATTTCTATATTTAAAAAATTATAATTTTTATATAATATATTTATATATACTTTTAAATTTATGTTTCTCATATAATTGAATTTTCAACTCCAATTTTTAAAGAATTTTTACAACTACAGCTATACAAATTCTTAAAAAAATGTATCTAAAAAAATAAATAAATAGATGTTAAATATATACATGTAATATAAATTCAATTTATATTTCTCATATTATTGAATTCTTAACTCATCTTTTTCAAGTCTGTTTCAACTATTCCTAACGATATAAGCTAGCTATACGAATTTGTTATCATAGACAACGCTTATCAAAAATTTACTAAAGAAGTCAAATAACTTCCGTATATGACTTACAAACATACAGCTAATATGTCTGTCTCTCTATGTAAATATAAATAACATTTTCTCAGCTGCCTCAGTTTTTATTTTATTAACATAAAACTCATTTTCCTCAACACGCCACGCAGGCATTACCAAAAATCCAACTACCCTAGTATTTATAGTGTATGCAAACGATAGAAGAACAAATAAAAAATGCTACGTAAATAAGTGTAAATCAACTGTTAGCGGTATCATAACGTAACCTATTGGCAAACAAGAACACACACACATACACACATACAAAGTAATGCACACGCACACACACTGTAGCAACAGTAATAAATAAAATATGGAAATCAATGAGAATTCGTTGCATAAGCCCAGGCACAGGCCGACACACACACACACACACGCACACTTGTATCTACTTATGATGTATTTGCCAAGATATGTGTGCGTGTGTGTGGGTATGTATAACTGTATACTGCTACAATGTATTTGTGATTGATATGCAGCTGGTGCCTCATGGCACTCATGGCTACACAGTTGTCAGGCTGCGTATTGCTCACTGCCGAAGGAATATTATTTAAGGAATTGCTTTAGATGTTTGACAAGTGGAAGCCATCGACGAGATTAGTTAGCGTATGCTAATTGGTATAAATAGAGAGATATGTATAAAGAATATATACACAAAACTATACTATACATATGTATATTTAATATTTTTATATTTCATATTTGTTTTGTGGAATTAAATGAAATTACTTCAACTGATTGAAATAGTTGGTATATGGCAAATATTATTGTATATATATATAATATTTCAATTATTAAATCTGCATAGTTGTTAAAAAACAAATATTAGTACATGTATAAAATAAAGTGTTTTCTTCGCCTTAATTTAGTCTTGCTTACTATTATTATCAAATATTCGCTCAAGTTAAAATCATGTTTTCATATGTAAAATCAAAATGTGAATTTGCTTTAATGTAATCAAATATGCAGAGAATTTATCTAGGCAAACAATTTAGTAAATGCTAATTAATTAGAATACATTTGAGAAGCTTATTGCAATAATTTGTTTAGATATTGTTGTGCTATATAAAGTTACTAAAGCTCGTACAGCAAGTGGAACTAAATTGTACAAATGCATGACATTCTCATTTCTGTTAGAAATTCATAAATAATATTTAATTACCAGCAGCTTTGTTGAAACTGGTTCTAATTAATTTTGGAAATCAAATGTGAATGCAAATATGTATATATAGTCAAATTATGAAGCGTATTTATATACATATGTATATGTGTATTTCCCAAAGAAGCTGTTGAATATTAAATAAGCATCTAGTCAACCTCCCTTAACTTTTGATACCCATCTCTAGGTAGCGTGAGATACGGGTATTATAAACGAATTTTTAGAGATCATAATGATAATAATTTATTGTCTCTATACGGAAAAAAAATATACAAATATATATAATACATATTCCTGCCTTTGGCATATTTATAATAATTTTTAATATATAATTTTCTTTTAAAAATGTTTATTTAAATGTTAATATTTACTTCCAAAAACTTGCATTATTATCTATATTTATTTTATTTTTTATTAATTTATTTATTTATTTATTTTATTTTTTATTTTATATTTTTGAAAAAAGTCATGATAGTTTTTTTACAAGCCCATTTCAAAACATTTTTATAACTATTTCTATAAATATCACACTCACATAGCTATTACGATTTCTTCGATTTCAGATACTTGAACCAATTTATGGTCATTTCTACTCCAAATTATAGCATTATCTTTAATTATCAATAGTTTTCTTGAATGACTAAGCTGTCTATGATAATTTATTAAAGACGAATTTATAAAGATTAATCAAATTATATAGGATGATTAGGCGGGAATATCTCGATTTCTTCTATCGCATTTATTCATAGAAATTCATGGATGTTAATTTAACCAATTTTCTTCAACATTTAAGCTTTTATGAATTCCTAGAAATCAACCAGAAATAGCAAGAAATATTCTATCTAGAATTTATGTGAATATAATTCATAAGAATTTATTTATTTGTTTCTTCTGCTAGCCTTCACTAAGATATTAACCCAAATATCTCACAATTTATTTTGACAGTGTCCTTTAGTGTTTCAGTAATTTAGCATTTGGAACAGCCAAATGACAGATGGCCATTTGAAAATTAATCCAGTGTTCTCTTAACGCCAAATGTGTTGGATTTTAACCCATGTCAAGATCTCGCCTTCTCTCTCTATCTGATACTCTATCGCTCTCTACTAGCAGAGAAGAAATGTATTGCGGTTATTGCTCTGTTTCAATGTGTTTATCTGTATATGAACATTTATGCATGGGTGTGTGTGTGTGTGTGTATGTGTATCTGGTTTTTTGATTTTAGGTCTCAACCACAAGCCCAACTGAGCTGGTGAGAAATAAGCCCGCGGGCCGCATTAAAACCCACAAAACTGGCAACTTGCTATTTGATTTATTTGCAACGGATACAGATATAAACATACAAATATATAAATATATACATATATATATGTATACTCATATATGTATATACATATAGAGCTGCTACGGCTGCTGCTGCTGCAACATCTACTTGGCCGCCCAACTCGTGGCAGACAAATAAAACACAATGTAAACCACATGACATATTGGCGTTTATTACAACAAATTGGGGTGACGATTTGGCGGCATTACAAAGGCAGCAAGAGCTCCAAACTAGGCGAAAAGTCGGATAAGGCGCGACACCCACACACACACACACACACACGAATACACACAACTGCACTCGAAACAAATTGAACTGAAACTCAAACAAACCACGGGTAGCTAGGGCAAGCACAAGAGAAACACAGGGTAAGCCGAAGAGAGGGGAGTGGGCGAATGAGGAGGGGGTTTGAGGGTTTTGGGGTCTCGCAGCTGTGCCCACGTTTTCTTCATATTGTTGCTGTTGTTGTTTTTGTTAGTGTTGTTTTTTGCTGCTGTCGCCAACTTCGTTTGACATTATTGTAGTTGTAAGCCTGCCAAACTGCGGACGCACATTTTACACACGAGGGCTGCCACAGAAGTGGAGCATTCAAATAAAATTTGAGT